GCTCTATCTAGTCATTTAATTCAGAGGACCAAATCATTACACGGATCAAAACTAGTACTGATAGCAGCTTTATTCTTACTTGCACTGAGGACAGCACAGGCTTTTCCACTGACTTCAAAAAGAATTAGATCTCTGCTGGTTAGATTAATAAAAAAGATCTGTATTTACTGTAGATGCACATGATGGCCACATGATGTAGAAATGTGATGATAATTTTTTTTCATTTATATGTATTTGGTGGCATTTAGACAATAAACAACTTAGTAAACAACTTTTCTCCCAATATATCTGGAACATTTAACTTGCAGGTGTACTGAAACCAGTCTACAGTGACACATTACTGTAATCCTACAACTTTGCATTTTAAAATGAGCAACTACTGCAGAAATTCTGCACATGCTACTATTGCTCCTGCATGAGACCAATATAACAGAAAAAAACTATTATGCTTAACTTTATATTTTATAAAAAGGTAAATACAGATTTAAATAAAATTTAAAAATTTTTAAGTGTCAGACTTGACTTTCAAGCTTCTCCCATTTCTCCGTGCTCCTTCTTTGAAACCTGGAGAAGAACACTTGGCACAGCAAAGATTCTGCATTTATAGCATTTAGCTATTGCTACAATTTTAATTATGCAAAACTCAGTAGGCTCTAATAAAATCTGACTAATCTGACTAATACTCTAAAACAAACATTGTGAGGTACTGAAAGCAATGTTGAAAGCAACACAAATTCCCTCATATCACAGAAAAGACTCATGCAGCACAGCGTATTTCATCATAGGCAAAACAACATCCCATGATGTTAACACCTTTTGTCTCCTCCGCAGCTAACAACAGTCTTTGTATTTTTCATTCTTAAAAAAAGTGAACTTTTCTAGTTTCAGTTCAGACACACTTGTGTATCATAGCAAAACCAGGGAGAGAATACTACAGATGAGATACAAGAAATATATCAACGGCAGGGTACAATTTTGAACTATTGTTAGTTCAAATATGAACTACTGCATATTGATATGCACAAAAACGACTATTATAAAATTACATTCTATTTATATCTCATATTTTAGTTACATTTATATAATTCAATACAGATATTTTCCCAAGATTTACATGTGAAGGGGATTCTCCCACCATGCCAATTCCACAGACCCAGGCTAAATCTGAGGTCTATTCAACCCAAGCAGAGAGCAGAGGCACAGCAGTGTAGTGCTATCATATCTTATTGGCCTTGTGATGTTTAAATTTTAAAAAAAATCTACAAGCAAGGGTATTAATTTTCAGAGCTACACCTGATGATTACACAGAGAAGGAGCAGAAAAACACAGGACACAGCAGTCAGTATAGTGAGCTTCTACAAACAAGGAAGTCTTCTCCATGGTAGTCAAGAATTTGTACCCCTGGACATTTTGAAGAGAATGATTTGAGTGGTAGTTTAATGTCATTTGTATATTTCCAGGAATCCTATCCTTTATCTCCTTAACACAAGCCAAAAAATATCTGGAACTGTATGGTTTTAAAATGCTTTATGCTGAAGTACAGATAATATTTCTGTATTCTTTTTCTCTTCCCAGACACCCTATAAATGGTGCTAACAAAATTAAAGTTATGAGAAGGTCCGTGCTTAGATTTACACTTTTGCTACGAGAAAAGAAAATTTTCAGAACAGAGAATATTTTTATGTCTCTATCTGTAGTGTCTTTTACCTTGAGTAAAACCAGTTTACCCTTGCAATATTTTTATGCCATATCAGGCTTTTACAGGTGGTGAATTTTAAATATAGAAGCAACAGGTTATTTGGTTGAGAGTACTAATGAGATCAACAATGGAACAGATTCAAAGCTACATTTACAGTTGTTATAGCTTACCCTGCCCATTGTCTGGAGGCACATGCCTGAGAATAAGTTACTAAGAACCATTATGCATAACAATGCAAATGAAGACCATTATTCTATCTTGGCCATTTTATTACTTGCATCATGAAAGCCTCAGCTTGTATTGAAGGTAGATGTGCTAACTGTTGGGCAAACACATAAGGAGTTGGAGTCTCCCCTACAAGAAGACAAAACTTTCAGCCCTCCAATCATGCACACTCCTCTCTTGAAGGCTGTATTTTGATGTACTGAAATGATACAGAAAGTTTACTGGTTTTAATGAAGTTCTAGCAGTAAGGAGAGGTCTTTAAATAAAGGAAAAGCGATTTTTAACGTAAGAAAAAAACACGCAATAGTAAGTTTTACTCAGTAAGAGCTGAGCCTGTCTACCAAAGTTTACAGAAGCTGCTACAGAAAAGCAGTCATCTCTGTATGAGCCATGGCAATAAAGTCATAAAACCCCAACCACAACAAAACTTTGGTAAGCAGACAACATTATCACTAGTAAAAAGGTAAAGGAAGCAGACTCCACATTTGACCTGAGCATCTACTGAATTTACAAGCCCAACAGTTGTGATAAGAAATAGACACAAGCAGCTGCAAACAGAAAGGACTTTGATAACAGGATGATGTGAGGCACTTCTTTGTCAAAACTATGCCAAAGTTAACCATGCATGTGGTCTGCTGTAGTTTGGGTCCTGAGTCCTCAAGCCTCAGGAAACCCAGCAATGAAGAAAACAGAGAAGCATTTTTGTACAGAACAGTGCCAGACATTTGTATGTCTTTAGCTTTCTCACATGGCCAGTGTACTTTGCAGAGGCTTTGCATTTGTGCTCCAGCTCAAGGTATGTGAGCAAGCAGAAAACAAACCCTTGCTTTTCTTAAAAGAAAAACCACCAACTCCAGGAACAGGGATGTTTTCCATTTTTATGATCAGTCAGTGACAAAGTGAACACTGTTATGAATTTAACAATCCAAACTAAATTTACTAGAGGATATAAAAAGACCCTAAATATTGAAGTCACATTTTCATTATGAACAAGTGTCAGAATGTACTTGGGCCAGTAATTTTAACTAAAAAACTGACAGAGTTTTAGCATTTGCTGAAAATGCACTTTGGTGAAGTTAATTTATCTGTAAAACACCTTGCTACAAAAAGACAACTTTCATACAGATTTGTTTTGTTATTGCCTACAACAAGCTGGTTAAAACCTATTAAAGTGTGTGCACCAGAGTGAGAGAAAAAAGCTTACAAAAATTTCCTCAGGAAAGCATGAGGCTTTTTGCACAGCAAAGGTGCAAAACTTTTAAAAAGACAGCAGTCACTGCTATCTTAACATGTAAGTAAAGTTGCTCTTAGTTTGCCAGAAACTTGATAATGCAGAATAAGTTCTTGAATAAACTTTTCAACACACCACACAGCCAAAAACATTAGAAATTAGCAAATGTGATTTTTCATACTGTGAGAATAAAAAAAGCAGAAATCAGAAATATACTTCAAAATATATTTCCATAGTATCTAATACATGCAACAATGATGAATGGGAACTTATAGACTCTGAAACAGGCAACTGAACTACTGCCAGTATAGGAATTGTCTTGTTCTGAGGGTAATTTTGAGAACATAATTTAATATTAAGAAGCTAAGTGTTCATCTTGTATTTTTTTTTTAAAAAACACCCTTGTTAAAAGCTGAAACTAAAAGAACCTAAAACAGGTGAAATCACACAGTTCAGATAATATGAAATATCTCTAATGTGCTATTCATAGTCTGTGTTTAAAAAGCTGAAGGACATACATTTACACACACAAAATAAAGCTATCATTGCTTTGTGGTTTGTAGAGTACATTCAGTTATTTTTCCTTATCCTTGGAAACATACATTACTCTTAATACAGCAACATCCTGAAATTTTATAACATTTTGGATTTCTTTGAAATGAAAAGTCCATTTTATTGTTTTTTAATTAAATCTATTTCCCTGAAAGGTCTATAAAGGCTCTACAAACTACCTTGCATTTTATTATTGCTGACAGTTATCTAAACCACGCTTGAATGCCCTCTTTATCCTTTAGTGAGCAATTGAAAGATCATATGCTAAAAAGACTTGTGCTTTCTCTTCTTCTAGCCCTGTAATTAAGGCATTTTAATACATTTCTTCATAGTCATTAAGAGAGCACAATGTTAAAAATTAATGAAATGAGACAATTTTGAGTTTAACAACCATAAATACACACAACATAAATTTGTCTCAATTGTAGATATGAAAAAAAGCCTTCTTGAAATCACATGATGAGATTACTGAATTGTCAAGATTTTGCCTTTGCTGTCTAAGGGTATTTAAATGATGTATGGTAGCCTGACAATACTCCAGTGTTGTTACATACCATACAAGAGAGGTAAACATTTCTGTCAAACATTCAAATTCCATTGGGTTTTTGTTTACCTTATATAGATGTCTATAAAAAAAAGTGGTATTGCTGGATGATGCTGAAAAGGGGGAGGAAAAACGAAAGAGGAAGAAAGACAAAGGCATAGGAAAGGAAAAATGATCGTAAGTCAATTGCAAAAATCCTGACATACAATGAAAAATACCACTATAACAACATCCACTTACAGCAGTATGTTTATAATGTTTCTAATAGAATAAATAGAATTGTCTTAGTTTGGATTTTTTTTTCCTAAGAAAGAGTTCACCATATTAATGTATCACATATTTTTGCAACACAGTAATAAGTGGGTTTCTTTTGTTACATGGTGAAAGGAATTCAGTGTTTCTAAGTACATCATCATCACTTCTATACACCCCAATTAAATACAGGGTAACTCTACTATACACATTGGTACCAAGTATTTCCAAAAGACATTACAAATGAGAAAATTATACAGCTTATCTTTTAAAACTAAGTTAAGTTTTTCAATGCTTAAGTTCTTATGCTTTCTCATCTTAATTTAAAAAGATGCAGTGCAATACAGAGCAAGAAGGTAAGGGAGGCTTTTTTCTCTTAAGAAAGACAAAAAAAAAAAAAAAGGGAAGTTGCTCTCCAGAAGATTTTTTAGGGTTGTCAGACTGTTATATTATAAACAACCTTATTAGTCCTTTATAATTACAATAGGTACCTCTGGACAAGATCGAGCAGACATGACAAATGCTTCTGACTTCTTTTTAAATCGAACCTGGAAGGTCATCGCTGAACAAACAGAATGCTATGCAACTGGGGCCATAAATTGTGAAAGCTAACAAAAAGGTAAGTTTTTTGATATTAAAAATTAAAATTATTCAGTTCAGGATTTTCTGTATAAGATCTGGAGATGGGAGGATGAAATAGTTTAGAAAGAATAAGTAAAGAAAATGAAATATTTAAAAACTTTATTATAAATTTTTTTTTTTTTGGAAGTTGAACCTGTATATTTGTAATATCTGTCTCACACTTGGATGAGAATTTATCCATGTTTGCATTTACTTTTTTTACAGAACCATGATGAAACTGTGGACAGTTAAAATAAAACCAGTCAGTCTCAAATCTATGGGATTTGCTTGCTGCTGTCCTCACGTCAAGTCAGCATACTACTATGCATTTTTCTTAACATTTTTATTTTGTTTTAGGATCATTTAACAGTACTGGTAGTTTTGGATTAAATTTAATTTGCATGGAGATAAACAGTAACTTAAGTGACTGGAACTGGAAACCAGTTGATGGATTCACTTTTAAATCTCACATTTCAGTTTGGAGAGGAAATGTAAGGATTGAATTAGAAAGCTGTAAACTCTTGATGAGAATTAGTGGTATAGAACAGAAGAAAACGAAACCCTCAGTTATTTTCCTTACAGTTAGGCTGAATGAAATTGTAAATCAACAAAAGATTTGGACAGCATTCAAATCAACAGCTTTACCTAATAAAAGTTCTAAAAGAGCACTGAGCATACCATTTGAAACAAATATGAAATAAATATGAAATATGAAAGACTTTAAAAAGAACCATATGAAAAGCAAAACAGTAAAATCACCAAAATTTGAGCAAAGGAAATATGAACTGAAATGTATGATGGGCAATTAAGTACCTATTTTGACAATTCTAAGTGGTCAAGTTTTTAAAGTATGACACCAAAACCTTAACCTATCTATATATGAGTGATAAATGAGGCATTTTGTGTCATTACATTCCCATAAATCACCTTCTTTAACTGCTGATGGCTTTTATCAGCTCTAACCTTTTCAAGCTTCTATCAGAGTGCTAACATTTTCAACTTTGACACGTATGCAGTTTACAAATTCTGCAGCTGATTAACTCTGGACAGAAGCTCATTGCCATCATTGTCTTCTTCAAGTTTGGTTACAGCTTCAGTGTCTGAAAAACTCACAGGCGTCCTTCGTATGCCAGAAAATATCACTTCACTTTGTTGGGCTGTGTTGAAAAGGAATCTCTCCTTTTGAAACAAGTAAATGAGAATATACTTACAAAAGTAGTTTTACAGAACGCCTGTAATATGTGTAATTTTCATTAATTTTAAATAAACTGCGCTTTCCAAATGAAGAGATAAAAGTAATAAGATCAATTTTACATGACTTTATAATGTAAACAAGCTTGGAATAAAAAAAAAATTGACTGTACTAGAAATGTTGCTGTAAAAGTTTCTGAGGTAAGCAACACTAAAAAGTTGAAAAAAAATTTAATTATTGCAGTGTACTGTATATATGACATTACAGAATATTGCAATTATAAACTGATCATGATCATGGGCCCTAAAAATATTTTGTGGGATCCCTCACTAAATTCCTCTCTTAACTATTTTGTGAATTTTAATGATTATAAATAGTAATATCTTGAAACTATAAATTTCAAAGGTTCAATTTCAGCATTTCATCACTCAGAACATGAAATGAATTCAACCATGATATACTCAGAATACGATAAATAAAAGAGCAGAAAAAAAGATAAAGGAAAAAATGTTTTATCCTGTGTAAGTAAATCTAGAGATTTCCAGGAACACTAGCTTTCTGTAGGAACTGAAATTAAATTACCTACTTGCCTGACACATTCAAATTTTGCTACAAATAGATGATAAAATAGTTTATAAAATCTCATTTAGGTGTTTGTCTTATAAAATATTTTAACTTACTGTACTATTTGAACAATAAGAAGACAGCCATACAGTAGCTCTGACTTAGTAGCATCAAGACACAGTAAGAATGGAAACAAAGCTTTAATCTTATGTATTTTTGTTATTTTTTAAATTTTAAAACTAGCAGAATATAACTGCAGATGCATTTCATCTATTGAAACAGCAGTGACTCATTCACTGAAATGAATTTCCAAGACATAATTCATCTAGACACTGAAACAAAGCCCAGGTTTAAAGAGATACTGTCTTTAATAATATTAGTCAGACTGCAATTTTTATGTTGGTTGTGTGACTATCGGAAGCCTGGTACTTCAGATGGTATTAGTTTTGATAAGAGCTAACTAGACATCAGACTGAAATAATGAAACATGAAGAGACAAGCTTGGAACATGTAAATAGGAATGGCTGCAGAGATTCTCATGCAGCTGATTTTCTCTTGTTGATAAACAACACATCTTAGAAAAACAGTGGATGAAGGAAAAATTTTTGCAGCATCACAACTAATTTAGCCTTGCAGTGTCAATACTTAAGGCCTATCCATAAAAACTGAGAAGTTCTTTATTTCACTAATAATGTCACACATCAGAGAAGCCGTGCAGTTACACTTTGACAATTCAGATGTAAATCTTAGAATGTCTGTGAGTATTCATGACAAAGACACATTTATCATTTAAATAAAAGGACACGATTTCCTGATGTTCATATCAAAGACTAGTGAGGGATGAGAGAATGCTAATCAAATGAAAAGAAGGAACACAGATGCTTACTATTTTGATTAGGAGAGGGAAATGAAGATCACTTTCCTAAATAAAGATCTAAACATTCATGAAGTATACACACAAATATATACGTAAGTGTAGATAACACACTGTGCATGCTTAGGAGCTTGGAATGTTCTCTAGCAGAAATGCTACAAATGCTACCTAGAGTAACTGCCAATTTACTTAAGGTCAGAAGAAGCCACATAACACTGACACCGATAAACTCCAGTTAACTGCATATGAATTTATACATTCAGAAGCAATTTTAGCTTTCTTCTATTAAAATTCAACAAGTAATAAAAGAGAATAATTTAAGCTTTTTTTTTTTGGTAACTTGTTTTCTACTGCCTTAGTTCTAGGTTTAAATTATACTTCTGTAACGTCATCCTTACGTAACTTAAAATGGCATAAAATCAATCTAAATATTACTGAAAACAAAAATGTAGACTGTTCAAATGGGATGCAAGATTGCAAGAAAAATGTGGAACTTCAGAGACAAACTTTATTGGAAGCTTTTACATTTTTGATACTCAAATCACCTTACTTCAATGTCTTGCTTTATATGTACCCAGCTTTAACTAACTAATTATGCATGTTTAGGAAGAACTAATAAACATCAAGAATTCTGCTTACTCATCATCAGTCACAACCACTGCCAGTGAGACAGCCAAAAGTTTGTTCAATTTGCAGATCCATATGCAGTGGCAAGGTCCCATGAGGTTCAATGATACTTTCACAAAGTGTTCTCAAACGATGGTAACATGCCAGTCCTTGAAATCCATTTTTCTCATTCTACATTAAGCAGGTAGTAACTATAAAGAAAATCCCTCTGATGCTTTTCCATTAAAATTCTGAAATGAGTGAACAAATTTTTGATATCCTAAAGAATGTACCCCAGTCACTCTAGTTCTGAACAGAGAAAGAAAAGCCTCTTTGCTAACTGGAGAACTATTCATTAAACCTACTTGTTTAATTGCTACTTGCTGTAGTTATGAAAAAAAGAAAGTACTAAAAATCAGAAAATAATTTAAGAAATGAGTCCCCATCACACAGTTTTCAAGAATTTACAAAAAGGAACCTTTTACAGTCTCTACAAAAGTATGTAATTGAACATAAACTGTTGGTATTGATGCAGAAAAAATATTTTTGAATTAAAAATATTCTTAATGCAACGATATACTATTTATTGTTGAAACAGTTTTTACCCAACCGGAAATGCATTTGAAATGAAGAATGATATAATGTGGTGCTTAATAAAAGTACACCAACACCAACAAGCATTTTGCTCTGCCACTCAGAAGCTCTGGTAAAACACATCTAATGATGTGCTTAATACAATTTATCCAAATAACCTCAGTGCCTACATTAATACAAGATTAGTGTTCTAGGGAAGCAGATTATTGTGCTCTGGAATATTGTACAATCACTCAGAACAAACAAAATGTAGGAAGTTTCAATATACACATTTCAGTCTCATCTTTAATTAAAAGAAACTTTTGGAGCTCTCACAGAGGCTGAATAGAAACATGATACACCATAGTGACACTGTTGTTTCTTTTTGCCTAAGCCAAGATTTAGGCATAAGGAATTTGTGCAACTGAGTGGAAATGTGATTCCTGTCCATTAACTGCCCAGGGACTACTGAATCTACTCATTTTGTACTTCAAATTACTCTTAGATTGTGCATTAACCTCACCAGTCCCATGCTTTTAAAATGCTTTATTTACTGAGACCTATCTGTAATCAGCTATTGACATTATTTATTTTTTGCTTATATTAGTACATATAGTTTTGTATTCTATACATAATAATTTATCATTTAATGTATTAAAGGCTGCTTAAGACAAACAAAATTCCTCCACCTCCTGGACCTCTTTTGAAAAATTTACTGGATGCTCAATATATATAATATTCAATAGCATGTGAGAATAATTTTTATGCAACTCTGATAGTTAGAAAGATAGATAACTCAATTATTAGATCATCTATCAAAATATTCAGATGTGTAAGAGGCTACTAAAAAGATTGATGACTGAGAAAGTCCACTGATTCTCTAGCCATCATATCCACACATTTGGCTAGACAACATTTTTCGCTGCCTTCACAAGCAAGCTTCATTACCCATCACTCCACTGAAAAGAGTTTATTATGAGGCTGCCATCTTGGCAAGACTATTATTTAGATGATAAATGTTGGGGGGGAAAGTGTGTCTAGAATTTTTTTTTTAACATGAGCTTTTTGACAGATAAAACAAACAGCATCTACATTTCTAATTAACTTAAATTTGGCATATACAAATATAGGTCAGTAAAGCTATGATATGCTACTAGATTATCTTCTGTCTGAATCTTGCCCTTAATTT